GAATAACATTGTTTGTGATCATCTTATTTGAAAGGAACATAGAGAAATAAAGCATTGAAATCTTTGGTCTTCATGAATTTGCATCGATATAATCTCATGACGATGATATATTGAATGATACTTGTTGTGTTCTATAGTTTTCGATGCTAAATGTGGAGGGGAAAGAGGTCAGGGAGTTAGGAGGGGAGGAAGAGAGGAATGGAAGCTCATCTGTCAAACGAACACCTCATATGTTCTGCAAAACCTTAACAGCTTCCGACACAAGCACCCATGGAGGCTTCTCTGTACCTAGAAGAGCCGCTGAAGATTGTTTTGCTCCTCTTGTATGGTTTCTCTGCATCTCATTTTCTTCGTTTTTGCTCCCGAGGATTAGTTTGACCTTCTTGTTCTAGGCCTTATTTGTGAACTTTTCACGGATGTTAGGACTACAAACAACAGAGACCATCTCAAGAACTCATTGCAAAAGACCTCCATGGAGTAGAGTGGAAGTTTCGGCATATTTATCGAGGTGGCCTCCGGTTGAGTTTATTTATTGTTCGTTTCTTTTTCTTTTCTTTTTTTGTCAATGAAACCAATATGTTTCGCTCTGTCTCTTAGGTCAACCAAGGAGGCATCTGCTCACCACTGGTTGGAGTATATTCGTCAGTCAAAAGAACCTCGTCTCTGGTGATGCGGTTCTCTTTCTGAGGTAGGCTTTAGATTTCAGTTTATCAGGTGCTGAAGTGGTGGTTTGAGTTTTCTTGATCGAAGAGTGTTATATTCAATTCTAACATTTGCGTTTCTAGAGACGAAGACGGAGAGCTGAGGTTAGGTATCAGAAGATCTGCACGGCCAAGAAACGGACTTCCTGACTCAATCATTGAGAAGAATTCATGTTCCGACATTCTGTCTCTTGTGGCTAATGCTGTATCTACAAAAAGCATGTTTCATGTGTTTTACAGTCCACGGTAAAATACAATGAAATCGCCATTAGTAATGATTCTAAACTTTCTTAAAAAGGATTTAAAGGAGGAACTATAATGTTGATTCATGGGTTCATATACAGAGCGACGCACGCAGAGTTTGTGATTCCTTATGAGAAGTATACCACAAGCATCAGGAATCCCATTTGCATAGGAACAAGGTTCAGAATGCGATTTGAAATGGAAGACTCTCCTGAGAGAAGGTATTATTGCTTTCTTGCTTCGTTTCTTCGTGTTGTGGCTTGTGTGCCAGCTTCTTTTCTTGGAAGAAAATTTAAACCTGCTTTTATCTTGCAGATGCGCTGGTGTAGTGACCGGAGTTTGTGACTTGGACCCGTATAGGTGGCCCAACTCAAAATGGAGGTGTTTGTTGGTGCGTCCTCCCTCATCTGTTTGTGTAATAACGTTTGTAGAAGATTTATCATTTTGCTAGACACTGGTAGTTAAACTTTTCAAATTTGTTTGGTAGGTGCGATGGGATGAGTCATTTGTGAGTGATCACCAAGAAAGAGTTTCCCCATGGGAGATTGATCCCTCTGGTTCTCTCCCACACTTGAGCATTCAGTCATCTCCAAGGCTTAAAAGGCCGTGGGCAGGTCTACTGGATACTACTCCACCTGGAAACCCCATAACCGGTAAAAACTAAATACACCTCTCTTCTCTTTGGGAAGATATGCTTTTTGCAGATTTTTAAGATTACTGCTATTGGTTGCAGCAGAAAGGGGTGGTTTTTTGGACTTTGAGGAGTCGGTTAGACCCTCTAAGGTCTTGCAAGGTCAAGAAAATATAGGTTCTGCATCACCTTTACAAGGGTTTGATGTTATGAACCGCCGGATACTGGATTTTGCGATGCAGTCTCATGCAAATCCAGTTCTTTTGTCTAGTAGAGTGAAGGATCGTTTTGGTGAGTTTGTAGATGCTACGTCCCTGGACCCAGCTTGTTCAGGCGTTATGGACCTGGATAGGTTTCCAAGGGTCTTACAAGGTCAAGAAATTTGCTCACTTCGATCATTCCCTCAAATTGCTGGTTTCAGTCCAGCTGCTACTTCAGGAAAACCTAGTCTTGGATACACTGATCCCTTTGCGTATAATCAAGCCAACAAGTCAAGTTTCTATCCGCTTGCGTCACAAGGGATTAGGAGCTCTCATATTCCATATCAAAATCCATACAATGCGGGAGAAAAATCCTCGGTTCACCCAATAAACTTTGGTGGGGAGAGTAGAAAGTTGGATGCACAAAATGAAGGTGGCCTACCGAAGAATGTGACAGCTGATTTGCCATTCAAGATTGATATGATGGGAAAACAGAAAGGTGGGGACTTTGATATGAATGCTTCATCAGAGTGTAAGCTTTTCGGATTCTCCTTACCCGTAGAGACACCTGCAGCTAACCCGCAAAGCTCGAGCAAAAGGATCTGCACAAAGGTAAAACCTTTATCTTCATCATCTCTTGGGCTTATTGGAGCTGTATTTCTAGATGTATCTTTTTATTGATTTCTTGTGTTCAAAAAGGTTCACAAGCAAGGAAGCCTGGTGGGGAGAGCTATTGATTTATCCCGACTAAACGGGTACAATGATCTCCTCACCGAGCTTGAACGGTTGTTCAACATGGAAGGGCTTCTCAGGGATCCCGAGAAAGGATGGAGGATCTTGTACACCGACAGTGAGAACGATATGATGGTTGTTGGTGATGATCCATGGCAGTAAGTTAGATCATATCTTGTAAAGCTCAATCACAACTTCTTAGCTGCTAACTTGAAAAAAAAATGAACTCTTTTTTGTTGTGAACAGTGATTTCTGCAATGTGGTGTTGAAGATACATTTATACACGAAAGAGGAAGTTGAGAATGGGAATGACGATAACAAGAGTTGTTTAGAACAAGCAGCTGTCTTGATGGAAGCATCAAAGTCATCTTCTGTGAGCCAGCCTGATTCTTCTCCAACGGTCGCTAGGGTTTGATGTAAGCAAATCAGAAAGAAGCTTCTTTCCTTTTGTACTTTCAAGTGTGTTTCGCTTACAAAAGACATAAAAGACTTCAACTTGATCTTTATCGTTTTCTTGGATATGTCTCTGTGTTTGCTTGTGTTATTTCTGATCTTTATGGGTTGGATCGGTTTCCTCGAGAGATTTATGAGTTACTGATCACATATTTATGGCTAAACTAAATACAAGTTTCATTTATAACATAGATTACTTATTTTTGTTCAAAACAAAAAACCTAGATTCCTTATGAAGAGCTACGATAACACAAGCTAAAATAACGGGTACAAAAAACCTAGATTCCTTATAAAGTTTTTCTCAAAACAAAAATAACAATGAGCTTTGCACATTTTATGGTGCATACATCACTATTATTATGTTTTTTTTTTCTTTTAGTTTTCTAAATGTCAAAAACTTAAAATTACATTTGACTTTGTGTTCATCAACACAACAACATGCAACTTCTTTATATGGTAGTAAATTGCTACGTACCAAACAAGTTAAACAACAAGAAAGGCCAACGTTGAACTTTAATTATAAGACACCAAGAAAGTAATTATTTGAAAATTTTCTCATTAGACCGACCATTTTTTATAATAACACTGCTTTTATTAATATGAAAAGCAGGAGTTCACATAGTCTTGATGTAAAATATAATTGAATACATTTGGTACATAAAAATGATAATGAAACAGGGCATTGGAACTTTACCATTGGCCTTGTATCAGCTGCTTGGTTATGATTTCTTTTTATCCATCCAAGTTCAACTTCTTTAAACTGTGAATGATCGATCCATGCTCGCACATCTCGGATCCAATTGTATAACCCAAAACTCAGAACCTTTCCATTGACCATATCCATTAATCACTTGCTATCTCCTTCAAAACTCACTTTATTATATCATTTACTCCAATAATGCTGCTTGCTGCATTGCTATGAGAAAAGCTTGAACTTCAATTTTTATAGAAACCATGCATGTAGTGTAAATAATGCTAGGTTTTATTATAAAAAAAAAATCAAAAATTTGTCAAAAAAATTATCAGTATCCTATACAAATTGGTAGTCCACAACAAAAGAGTAATCAGAATATTCTAACAACGTAAGATATTTAAATAATCACATAAATACCACTGGTCTACCAAGTTGTCTAGATTACGGTTTTCTCTTTAAAATCTTTTTGTCTCAAATATTCACGCATTAACTGTCGTAGATAGAAAAATGGTATCACTCTCGATCTCTCAAAATTCAAATAAAAATTGACACACTTTGTTAGAGAAACCATGTAAATAATACTACCATGTAAACCTTTACGTGCCCCATACTGATTTTAAGAAAACTTAATCAGCTATCAGTTGGCAATGATTTCCACTACTAAATCCACGATTCATTTCTTTTTTTCGATCACTATATTCCTTTTTTTTTTGGGTCATCTTGCGCATTACAATTGGTCTTTCCAACTATTTTTTCATAAATCATTTTTTCTTTCCAAAAATCTCTAACTTAGAATTCTAAACTTATATAAAAGTATTTCTTATGCAAATAAATAGAGACATAAAAAATCTTTATATGTTTAAAGGAACATATTGAAAATCTTAGAGAGAATTTCTGGTGTACACTGTTAGAAATCATTCCATCATTTAATATTTTTTTTTCAAAATTAAATTAAATTTCTTATATTTTCATTCGTATGTGTAGTTTAAAATATATTTTTCTTACATATAGGTGCATGACTGATTATAATTATAACTTTTATTTATGTAATTAGACCCAAAAAGCGCACAACCCTATCCATGGTCATCTCTAGTATTTGCCCTAATGCTTTTGTTTTAATAGTACCATACTATTCTTAACTAAGAGAATATTGATATGTTACTGTTTATTTTTTATTATTTTTGATAACAAATGTAACAAAACCATATTTTTATTTCAAAGAAAACACAACATAACAATAACAAAGAGAAATGTAACAACATAACAATAACAAGTAGAAATGTAACAACATAATTTTGAAGAAAAAGTAAACAACATAAGAAAAAATGAGGATTACATGAAAACAATTAGTAACCAGAACCAGATTCTGGTGGATAACCACCATGATAACCTTCATTTTCACTGATGTTTTCTCCTCTGAAGTTCAGGTTTTGGTTCTGATTGTACCCTGGTCTAGTCATATTATATTCTGGAACAGATATTTCTGCAGCATTACCATGAAAATTGTTTCCAAACGGTAATGGACGATTAGAGACAAGCATGTTCTGGTTGTAGAATGCATTCATATCCACCATTCTTCTTTGATTAAGCTGGTCTAAATTGAGGTTGAAATTGTTACCATTATTAACCCCAAAAGGAGCATGACTGGAACTTCCAGCATAGAAGTTTTGTTGAGGACCAGCTGTTTGAAACATTTTGGAGGCTTCCAATGTTACTTCTCTCTTCAATTCTTCAAGTCTGCTTTTAAATTGTTTAGCCTGAGCTAAATCAAGTTCTTCAATGGGTTTTTCCCACCATCTCTCAGGCACTTGAGAATTTTTTCTTATTTTCTTTAGATCTTCATTCTTCTTTTTCTCTGATTCCAATTGGTTCGTTAACTACATATACAAATATATTGATTTAAAAAGTTATGTATAAAACCCATTTGATAACATCTCAAATTAGTTCCTTTTAAAAAAATACACATATAATAACAAAAATACATATATATATATATATACTTTTTTGCAACAATACATATATATACATTATATTATTAGCATTCTTTTGGCATATCATGAGTATATATAAATCTATAATAAATAGAAAAAATCTACTTCTGATTGTATTATATGATACTTACTTGCGATAATTATTAAATATATTTGAATACAACTATTTGAGTTAGGGTTTTAATCATTTATATCAAACATAATAATGTTTTTAAATAACAAAATAAAAAATTACCTGAGTAAGTTGATTGTTGAGATCTCGAATGTTAGAATTTCGACGGATCTCATTAAGCTGCATACTTCCATGTTGTTGAGGAGTTGGAGGGTCATTGTCTACAAACCGATCAATTACAGTTTTAACATTTGGATGACCAAAAGAAAAAACTTTTTGACCTGGTGAGTGAACAATAATAGCTACCTCTGCATCACAAAGTGTGCAAAGTTCACTAGCTTTTTTGAAAAGCCCTGATCTTCTTTTTGAAAAAGTAACTTGAAGATTACTTTCATTTTGCATTTTGACCATCTCTATTTTCTGACGACCTTTACTCTTTCTCACCATTTTGTGATATTTAGAACAAAAAAATATGGATTAGTGTTTGTTTCAATGGTATTTGCAAAATGAAAATTTGCATGTATTTATAGTGGAAAATTGCATACCAGCAATTAATGTTTTGAGCTGTGTATGAATAATTCTAACCTTTTATATTTGAATTTTAGTTTTACCATTTTAGGATATTTTAACATCTATATATTTCATCAATATAAGGTATGCAATTCATATTAATTTGACTATAATATTATTATTTCATTTGTTACAATGTATCATGATCTGTCATTTCTAACTTATTTGCATATTTGCATATTTCTTTAATAACAAAATTGTTGTTGTAAATAAATTAAAAATATCACTTTGGAAAAAAATAAAATAAAAAAGATTTAGCTAATATACGATTATATTCATTGTTTTATAATATAACATATTAAGAACAAATATATTTTGTTGCATTTTACATGCTATTATATTGGTCATTATTTTCTAAAATATAGCAAATTTTATGTCAATACTCATTTGTTAACAATAGTGATATATATTTCGAATCAAATAGTTATATATTTTTTTGTAGCATCGGTTAAAATCACGACACCCAATTCAACATCCCGTCAATGGGTTATCTTCAAACATAACTATCAACATTATTTTCTAATAGGTCATTCATCCTGAATTCTCAGTTTAAACACTGCGTAATTCTTTTAAAATATGTTACAGAAAATATAATGTATTTTTATAATATAGGTAGCCAAATCAATTATTTTAAGTTCTCTTAATGCACAATTATATTAGAAAAATTAGAATACTAAAAGTTGTTTTGCATAACCGTATAGTAAAATTATATATCTTCTTATAAGATAAATTAGTTTAAATCTTAACAAAGTTTTATTAGATGTCAATGTTGTTTTCACCAAATTATGAAAAACATATCCGCAAAATAATACATATATATATATATATATTCACATATACATTTTTAGTTTATGATACCATTTTAGTAGATATATTCACAAATACAAAATTGACAACTAAACAATCCCACTTTAGAAGTTTTCATCTGTTTTAGTAGTATTAGATACGTAAAGATTTTTATGTTGAAATTGTTAAGTTCATGGTACATACATTGAAAATGACGTGGAGAGATGTGACTGAATTAAATGGCTCAGCATTTTGTCTGATGACATAATTTCTAAGATTAGTAATTAAAATTATAGAAATTTGATTAACCATATAAAGTATATAAAATAATGAATTTAGATCTTATTTTAATTTATATTAAACTTCTTAGTATTAGTTAACAATTTATTATTGTATTTATTTTAAATAATTAATTTAAAACTTCTGAAATCAATATTTCTAATAAACTAATAACTAATAAAACCCAATATAGAAATGTGTGATTAAAAATCTGACCCAAAATTGTGATTGTAAATCTCTGATGATATTTATAATTAGTATTACTAGATTTTTTTCTATTATCCTCCATCACATACACCATGGCTCAGCATTTTGTCTGATGACATAATTTCTAAGATTAGTAATTAAAATTATAGAAATTTGATTAACCATATAAAGTATATAAAAATAATGAATTTAGATCTTATTGTAATTTATATTATAACTTCTTAGTATTAGTTAACAGTTTATTATTGTATTTATTCTAAATAATTAATTTAAAACTTCTGAAATCAATATTTCCAATAAACTAATAACTAATAAAACCCAATATAGAAATAAGTGATTAAAAATCTGACCCAAAATTGTGATTGTATCAAATCTCTGATGATATTTATAATTAGTATTACTAGATTTTTTTCTATTATCCTCCATCACATACACCATGGCTCAGCATTTTGTCTGATTACATAATTTCTAAGATTAGTAATTAAATAGAAATTTGATTAACCATATCAAGTATATAAAAATAATGAATTTAGATCTTATTGTAATTTATATTCAACTTCTTAGTATTAATTAACAATTTATTATTCTATTTATTTTAAATAATTAATTTAAAACTTCTGAAATCAATATTTCCAATAAACTAATAACTAATAAAACCCAATATAGAAATGTGTGATTAAAAATCTGACCCAAAATTGTGATTGTATCAAATCTTTGATGATATTTATAATTAGTATTACTAGATTTTTTGCTATTATCCTCCATCACATACACCATGGCTCAGCATTTTGTCTGATGACATAATTTCTAAGATTAGTAATTAAAATTATGGAAATTTGATTAACCATATAAATTATATAAAAATAATGAATTTAGATCTTATTGTAATTTATATTAAACTTCTTAGTATTAGTTAACAATTTATTATTCTATTTATTTTATTAATTGAAAACTTCTGAAATCAATATTTCCAATAAACTAATAACTAATAAAACCCAATATAGAAATGTGTGATTAAAAATCTGACCAAAAATTGTGATTGTATCAAATCTCTGATGATATTTATAATTAGTATTACTAGATTTTTTCTATTATCCTCCATCACAAACACCATGGATAGATGTATCCTTAAAAATGCGGACCTACTACGAATAAATATACTTATATTTGTACCATGAGGAGATTCGTAAAAACATTATCAATATTTTGATCAATCACTGGAGTAATTGGTTTCCACGTTACAAATTTTTAAATCACACAATATGTATCATTATGCACAATATTCCGTGAGTATTTTAATGGTGCATCAAATTACATCGTAGAGTGACTTAGTTTGCTAGACTCAGACTGAATTGTGTGTATTAAATACTATTGAAGGCTCCTAAACACATCGAATTTAGCCCAAAACGCATTTCTAAAGCTCATTAGTCGCACCCGCGCGCACATTAAGCGTTAAGTTAAGGGTGGTAATTGTTTTGATTTGTTTAACAGAGGTATTTTGATTTGCAGAGAAGTATAATAATAACGATCTTTCTGGATTGGCCAGAACCATGATGAACTCAATGCACACAAATTACAATGGAGGAGGAGAGCTGGTTTTGATAATAAATAAATAAAAAATGGAACCCATAATTTACAAAATGATACATCCCTCTATGGCTCCTGGCTTCCGAGTAATTTTATAATCGTCCGCAAAAAAAAAAAAAAAAAACCTATTCGAGTATAACGAATTACCAATTAAACCGGAACCACCTGTGCCCACTTTTCTGCCTATTCAGTAAACTAAATCAGCCCGTGCTTTGCTTTGCAAAATACAGTCCTGCAGTGTAGCAGACAAGGGCCAAGATTCTGAACCGATAATGAAGAGAGTCAACAACTTCGTAAAAGCCAAAAAAATACAAAAAGTCAATACCGGTTCGATTCTTGCCTGCACAGAGAATAAAGAAGATCTTTGCTAACTCCGGTATGCTGTCTGATGATCCTGTTGATTGTTCTGTGCATAGCGTTAAGAATCAAAAGGAACACCGAATCATCCCGAGAGAGAGAGAGAACAAAACAGGAAGAAATATCACTCAGAATCCGAGTCAATGGAGAGGAACATCCGAGGTCTTACAGAACGCTTCTGGCGAGGAAATGAAAATGGATTATCTGATCTTTGCTTCTTTGCCTTGTCTTGTCTACTGTCATTCATACCCAGAAGCAACGAAGCTGCAAACACGGACCAACAATCAGTAAGTGTACCACATGGACTATGGATATAAAGGAGCATCGACAAAGATTAACTGATAGCTAATGAAGCAATGAAAATGAAACGCAACATCATGAGCAGGATCCACATTTATAAGTCCATTAACGGTTGCAGGAAAGCATATATAATTTATCTCAGTCAGGGAACGAACCAGTCTCTGTCGTTGTATCCAAAGAACCTTCCCTTGTAGACATCTGCTGACTTGAGTTAAGCCCGTTTGCAGTAGCAGGCTCTCCGTGATTCCCACAGGCGCTATCGCCTAGCCTGAGCGAGATCCAGTCATCACTGCGGATACCATTTGACATATCAGCTTGGTTTTTAAAACCCGACTGAGCTGAAGCATCTGGTTTTGTTGGCAAAAATATTTGAAGTGAGGGATCGTCTCTACCAAATGCAAGAGGATTGTCAACTAGGCCATCGTTTGCAACTGATTCAGATCTTCCATCCGAGCACGGAACCACAGTAATAGATGCCATGGATGTCTCAGGAGCCATGGTGTAACCTCCATTTATTTCAGGACCACAGTTTAGTGAACCATGATGATGCAGACCAACTAAACCTTCTGAAACATCAGCATCAGATGCGAATAGTTGGAACCCAGGGGCTTCTGGAGTTTCAGAAGGAAATGTCCAAAGGGGCGTATCGAATTCGTCATCATCACTGAAAAGACCTAAGCGTGAGCTTCCCCCAGCTATGGTGTTTGGGTCTTCATTATATGAGTTGATTATTCCAGGAGGGTTCAGTGGAAAATTTACCCCGCCATCGGTTCGGCAACCACTGTATGCAGGTCCAGGAGTGATAACTACATCATTCTCTTCATCGGAATCACTTAGAACGATAACTTCATTATTTCTATCCTCTCCAGCTTGGTTTCTGTCAGGAAAGTTATAACCGGAATCGACATTCATGGAAATGGAATCAAGTTCAATGCCGTTGGTTCCAAAGTCAAAGGTTCCAATAGCATCCTGGTTTACGCTTACATCATCACCATCCCTACCACTTCCAGTAGCACTGCTACTCATTGGTATAATATTCTTGTCCTGATACCCAACCTTTTCTTGCCTATTACTGGAAGATAACCCATTTGTGTTAGGTTTGCTAACTTCCCAAAGGCCATTGCGATTCTTCCTGATTCCAAGTTTCAGAGGGGTCGGGCCATCTGAGAAACCTTCTTGTTTAACCGGAATTAACATTTCCATCTTCCGTTTAATCTCATCAGCAGAAGGGCAAAGACTACCATCGGGTGCGTGCCACTGTGAGAGTTCCCCCAATTCCCTACGCTCACTCTCTTTTTTGGACTTTACTCGCCAAGAACCGTCAGGTTTCACTTCAATTTCAGTCACCTCTTCATCGCAATGCTTCATCTGTCGTGCAGGAAGATAGCAATTGTATAAATGTGTAGATACATAGATTCAAGAATTCTAGTATTCCCATGAGTTTTACCTTAGTCGTGATACGGTTAAAATAAGGATCCACGATTACATGCTCTACTGAGTAGTTCTTCAGACAAATAGGGCACTGCCACTGCATGTAAACAAACCACAGAATAAATCAAGTCAGAAAACAAGAGGAATAATCTAACTTTTAGGCAAGGATAGGAGACCTGCCTTTCTGGAACGTTGATTCAACTCCACAAACACCTCAAGATCAAAACAGCCCATGTGCACACAGGGTAAAAATCTCCCAGCAACTTTTATCCTAGAACCGCTCATCTAATGACACAAGCAGAAAAGATAATTAAAATTCAACTGCAAGGAAATATACACAAGCACAGCATCAGATGGCCCTAGGAAGATGGTAAGCATCCGTTACGTGACTGCAATAAGTGAGCAACAAGCTATTAGTAACTTACAGGACAGCGGAGATTGACACCGAAGAAATCAGCAACAACTTCAATGTCACTATCACTGTCGGCATTATCATCTCCACCTCCACCTCCAATGCATCGTCGTACACGAGCAAGAGCATCTTCAAACGTCTCCCCTTTAGTCTCTTCTGGAATCAAATTTAGAACCTAGATGGAAAAATGAGTAAATATTGCGGCAACTTGGATCAAAATAACTGAATTCCTGAACATTCAGAAACGCTGACAACAGTGAAAAAAAACAGGGAAATAAAGTGTTGCAGCACAACAACATACGACACTTATGTAAACAACTGCAATCCAATAACGCTACATCTTTAACACCATGTATCATACAAGACCACGTTCAGTGACTATCTCAGTGAAATAGATGACGAAAGAATAGGACTCTAAAATTTGAAACCTAACATTGCAAGATTTAGTGGGAATGGAATAACAAGAAAAAAAGTTCAACGTAAGTATGTCACGACACGCAACTTCCAGAGATCAATTTCTTGGAATGCCAATTTAACTTTTTTCTGTGTTCAGCAGATCATTTTGTTTCTTATTTTGAACTTTTCCGTGTTAATTACCCCCATAGACAGACCAAATCTGTTGAATGTTCATCATGCAATTTCTGTCATCAGTACCTGTTGTAGTGTCCTGCGCTTCACAAGTCTAACTCCAAAACAAAAACTCCGATTGTCACCTCCACTCAAGGATATTCTGTTAATTCCATCCCTAATACAAGGTGTGATCTGCCAAAATAGAAAAATGAGATGGTAACAAATTATACCACTGATTGCAAGACTTTCAATGCATGAGATATCGACTCCTATATTTAAGTCAAAAGGGTTACTGCTGAAAAGGGATAAAAAACACACAATAGGTCCATCGTCGCGGCCGTTGGCCCCCAAAAGCTGTGATCCAGGTCGGTTAATTGCACGTACAGGCATACCTGTGAAATGAAAGGGTATATATATCATGAATCCCATATCAGAAAACATAAAGAAGTCTTATTGAGTACAATCAGAATAACAGTAAAACTAAGACAATGTGTATGTGAATGCATGACGCCCACGGCAATTAATGGCTACGCAAGATAACACATTCCGCTATTTCGAAGAATGTCACTGTCATACCATTGATCTGCAGATCAGCATACTGAGGCCATTGCATCCTAAAGAGAACTTTGTCATTTAAGAGCATACACCAAGCCTAAGAAAAAGTAAATTCCAGTTAGAAACGCATAAGTAGATACAGTGTCAGATAATTAGAGTTCTTTACAAAAATCCAACCTGAACATCGTACTCTTGTTTGGCCAACAACTCCTTGTCTGCCCTTGTGATTTGAAATGTTCTCTCGACACTCTGCATTGTGTTTGTACTGGAAAGATTTTGAGTATTAGAACAAACAAAAGCTAGAACGGTAATTTTTCAGTAGGTGCTGTGCATCTAGCTAGGAAACAATTGTGGTTCTTATTCTCTAGACACTAGAATGAATGTCTTATATCAGTTACCAGTTCAAAGTCAACTGACTAGCAGGACGTTGATTTGAGACTTATTCCACCACTATTATCCCTTCTCAAAGACAGGATAAGACAAAAGAAATATAGCGTACTACACACAATGATGACCAGTAGGGGAACAAAAACGCAAACGTACTTAGTGCAGGATGAAACAGATGGTGATGAATCATCTACGATAGTCCATTGAGTACTTCAGCTTACTAAGTAACTAATGTTAACAGTTGTAACTTTCAAGAATGGGAATAGAAGTACACAAATTCAAAACGACAGCTACAAAGAAAGTATTAAGTTCTTACCCATCAGTAGGGATGGTCGTTGCAGTCAACCTCAGTGGATAAAGCGGATGTGCCACTGTAACCCAAAACCTGCACAATGAAAGCCATGTAGGACAACCGTAAATCACATTACCAACGGATAGCGTTGTTAATGTAAAGATAACACTGATAATTACAACAACATTCTAACTACTACGATAACAGTACTAGAAGAAGAATAACAAGCACATGCAAGGAGATAAAGAAACTAGGATGAAGAACACAACAAATAACTCATGCAGTAGGGGAAGAACTCAGATGGAAAATTAATCACAACTCAAACTCAGAAAAGAAAAGTAAAATCCTTGAAAAACTTACGGGTCAGCTCGAGTAAGTCGGCAGATTTCACAATAAAATGATTCAGGAAGTGGTGGATTTCCATCCATAGGCTTCTCCGGGACAATCACACAGCCAACATGCTCCCAAACATGGCATCTTGGATCCTCACACTGAAATCCAAATAAAAATTAAAAAAATTACGACCAGAAAACATCACCAAATTTCACAAATAAAACCAAAAATAGATACATCAGGTCATCCGCAATATTACACCAAGAGATGCTCTAAAGCCAGCTCAAACAGGAGTAGACACACCGAGTTAGTCCCAGGTTACCTGTATCATTGAATCTGTCTCTAGTGAACTTCCACAGACACATCGAACTTTCATTTCTGGTTGAAATGGATCTTCAGGCTCCCCCTTGACTCTCAGATTACTGGTATCTGAACTAACTTGTCCTTTTGATGCTAAATCACTTGCCCCAGATACTTGCATTTTCCTATGGAACACAAAAATAATGCGGTAAAACAATTGCACAGAAAAAGCATGGCACTTCGTAAGAAATCCATTGTAAGAAACGATCACTCACCTATATGTATCGTCCACTAGTTTTGCAACTTCTTCCCTCGCCACAGTATTCTTTTTCGACCATAACCTGGCAGCTGGTAGTAGAGAATGAAGAGAGAGGCTTATCAGAAGATGGCAAAGCTAGCAGCGACTATTAATACACCGAGACGTAAATAATTTAAGAAAGAAAAAAAATAGAGAGAAGTGTTTCAATTAACCTCGTTCATCAGAAAGAAGGGTCAAGATCCGATCGACAAGTTCCTGCACAAGAAAAAAAGGAATTGGTACCCTGAGTATTTAACTGTACTCTCTGAGGCCCATGAAGCTATCTAATACCTAAGCTGTACATTCCAACTGAAGATTAAAGCATATCTACCCAACACAACTTGGTGAAAACAAACAGCGACAGCGTAATTTTAAAATGAAATAGACAAAACTATTCGTGAGGTATGTCTTAGATTAATACCGGCAACTGCTGTATAATTCATCACAACAGTTATCACCTAAAACATGTGAAAGATCCAACTATAACCATCTCACCATCATCTTCTGTGCAAGCAATCTTTTTCAAAAGTAAAATCACCACCACAATTATAACAAATGGAAAATCAGCAGAAAGATTGTATAACCTGCTTCTTTCCCTGTTTCGAAAGTCCCAGCTGAGTGAGCACATCCTTGAGCTCTTTTATCCGAAAATGTGAAAGCTTATCCTGCAAACACAATAAACTAAACTCTGAGCCTAACTAAAGCAAGATATAATCCACTAACAACAACTAATGTGCCTTGTGAGATTGAGCATCGTTTTAAACTCTCTAATAGTACAAAGAAATAGAAAACAAGATCATGAACAGAGCTTAGGAAAAAGAAAAATCAGAGCTTTTAGAATCATCCGCTCTAACAAGTTCAAATCAAGACAGATAAAGCACACGCTAGATCTTTCACTCAATAATACCTTACAAGAAGCTTCCAAATCCATGTCTTTTAATCCAGACAAACAAGAAGCAAAGCTCAGTTACAAAACAGGCCAACGTTTAACTCCAACAATTAGTACCAAAGCTGTAAAATTCACACAGCATACAGTTTCCATATAGCAGCCGATCTAAGGAACACAACAAACAAAAAGAAAACAAAAAATTACTCAAACAATAACGAAAACCCTTGAGCTTCCAAGGAAAAAATTCAGAAATTAAACGGAAACACAAACCAAGGGATCGGATAGTGCATCAAAACATATGGAAACTGAATAGAAATTGGTGAGAGATTGGGAATTAGGGTTTCCACAGCTCGATAAGATATTTTTTTTTTTTGCCAGGAAACCAAAAAAGAGACACCAACCAGACGGAAAAAATGGGTCGATCCTCGGAGAGGAAAACTAACAAAAGAAGGGTAGCCGGACCAGTCGCCGATTATCAAATCCGGTTTAATGACGGGCAATACGTCCGGGTTAAGTTCCTGTGTGGTCACGTGCACGGTTCGAAAATTGACGTGTTTTTGACTTTCGGTTCATCTTCTCTCTCTCTCACCCACTATGTTTAAAGATTAACTACGTAACGGTGTCGTTTTCTTCATCATATTATGTATTTTAATCGAATATTTCCATCCCACGTGAGATAACACCAGCCGTTGGATCAAGCGAGAACTCACATACATAAGACGTTTTATTGTCCTCTTTATTTTGCTAATTTCCGGTTTATCTAGTAAGATTTCAAAGCAATTTGGAAGTAATGCATTCTTTCAGCTAGGGTTGTGCATCATCTCATATGGATACATTTATCTTTCAAAATTTTGAAATACTCGTTACTCGATCTAAATTTGGCAGGTAATATTGAATTCCCATAAAACAAAAATGATATCTAAACAAATAGGTACATTCTAGAATAAAATACTTTTTTATGACAAAATAAAAAATTGGTCAAATATTATATATTTTTAGATTCGACATCGTCCCAATTTTCACTGATCACGATATTTTGAAGAAAATATATATTCGGAATTTATTTGATTTAATCTGCTATTTGGATCCAAATTTTTACAACTATATATATAAACCCATATTCGAGATTCAAAACCATTTTTACATAAATATGTATGAGTTCATCATATACAGTAGAACCTCTATAAATTAATACTCGATAAATTAATAATCACTATAAATTAATAAATTTTGATGGTCCCAAGTCGGGCCAATGTAAAAATCTATCAAATTCGATAAAATAATAAGATAATAATTTTTTTTGAAACCCTTATGTAAATACATGGTCCCAACAAAAACATAAATTAATAATTATATAAATCTATGCAAATATATGTAAATTTATTATTTTAAAATATGACTAATGTGTTTGTTTTTTGTTAAAGTTGAATTCTCATTGGTTCTCATCTTTCTTATTATTATATTAGTAGTTCTTATTGCTGTTTTACTATATATATTCAAAAATTATGATGACTTTTTGATGTGATAATTGATTTTTTTACATGTAAATATTTTTAAATGTATTGTAGTGTTATCTTCAATTTTATCATCAATGATACTGATAGTAGCCATAATTGTTTTATAAATTTTAAACTTATGAACATGTATATTTTTATATGGACAATCCAATATGGTAAAAAACTATTTTATTGTGATAGTTAGGATTTTTAATCATAATATATATTATGAGATTTGTTAAAATTTTAAAATATAACATTATTTCAAATAAATTTTTAGAAAATTATATGTGGAAAACAATTTTTCTTTATAAATTAATAATTATTAATTTATATATAAATTAATAACACGATAAATTAATAAAATATCATGATACCAACATTATTAATTTATAGAGGTTTTACTGTATTCCCTATCGGCGTCCGTTTGTTACAAAGAAATGAAAGGCATATCTATGAGATACCAAAGACGTTTCCTATGATGTTCGCTTTATTCACATTTTATGATATTTTTGTTTGTAGTTTATATGTAGAAACATTATTTTGAAGAAAGAACTTCATGTCTTTATATATTAAAAAAAAAAAACTTTGTGATTCATACCAACTAGGCAACTAGCCAACTAGGGGGTGTGCTTTTGGTGATATTGTTTGGTTTAGTTTTTGGGGGTGATCTTTTTTGAACAATTACTTATGGAATTTGAACCAAGTTTCTTTCGAATCGATTTAGTTGGGTAAAATTTGGTCCAATGTTTTGGATGAATAATTAAATAATATCATAAACATATTTTTATATATTATGACATGGATCCACGATTATATGGGCTTTGAATCTCTTGAAATGTAGCTTTTGTGCTTAATTTTCATCAAATTTATAATGGCAACTCCGAGGATGTTACTTGTCATAATTGTCATTGTGGGTTATTGAATATGAGGACGTTCTCGTGTATAAGTCTTATTTTTTGTTTTTCTTGGGAAATCTTTGTGCCTTTTCGTTTTCTTTCAAGGAAAAAATTATGGTGTGAATCCGGAATATTAAAAAAACAGTTTGCTTAGTGATGATTCTTGAGTCTTGGGCAGATCTCATTGAGTTGATCTCTGTTTTTTGCTTCTAATGGAAAATAATTAACAGTGAGATCTTGACTTCTTGATGTAGATAGTTTTTCATAGATTTGTCATACTTTTCGTCCAACTCTTTCTATAGGTGCCTTGTGAAAGGCAAAAAATAAAGAAGCCATATTTTCTTTTTTGGAGTGTGTAAGAACTAAGAATCAAAGCAAAATTATGTGAGGTCTGCAAATACAACTCATAAATTGATAAGCTTTTCTTAAGAGTTTCAGGCTGAGGACGTGCTAATAATCTTTGATAGCGGATCATGATGAGCTGCTCATCGATGAGAAAACTTCACAAGGACCAAAACATCTTTGAGCAAAGAGCAAGTACTTGTCTTGGAACAGATTACCATTTCAGGTATAGGAAGAAGATTCAAACCAAGGTCATGTAATAACCAATTCATGCTTAAACTGTCTTGCAGTGTAAGCTCAAAGAGAATAGTTTATAGATGGGAGAAACAAAACTATGGCTTGAAATGGTATGCATCAATTATTAGAGGGAAAGGTAATAACCGAAGTACCTTTTGAGTTTTAAACTTGGAGATGCAATATTTCTGCATTTAGTTGCATATATAAGGATTGCTACGTAGGAGAGATACCGCCACCATCAGCTAAACTCTTAAAAGAGGTGATGGCGCTATCTCTCCTGCGAAGCAAATCTTTGTTTGCAGTTTCAAAACCATAGAAGAAGCAAAAACACTCATTTGATGACTCTGTATATTTGTGCAATCACTCTATTAGTATCATCTCATTTATATATATATTACCATAAGAGGAGTGGACTTAATTTATGCCATATAGCTATCATTGCTCGTAATTTTCATTTAGCTTGCCGCTTTCTATGTGGCTACAATCAAATGAATTATTATCCAAGTGAGGTCATCGTGTAAACGTCACCTCCAGTGATTTGGTATTGCCTTTGTGTGTAGGTTCTTCAGTTAATTTGATCTTTTGATTTTGCATGTGTTCTCAGATGTTACATATATATGTACAAGTTTACTGACATTGGCGAAAATTTTAGTTTTATTTGGTTTCATGCATCTGGAGGGGGATACGCAACATTAAGGTCACACTGTAAGATTCAAGAAGTATCAACTATTTAACTTATCCTTGACTAGTCCTTGTATAGTGTTGGTGCTATATACTATGAGCAGCTCTGGACTGTCACTTTCTAGCACAACTTGAGTTATTGGATCGCTGTGACACTTATCCACTAAGATCTATACATTCTAATTATAGGCATAATCTGAATTAAAATAAAACATAATATATTGTTAGACCTCCCTTTGTAGGTTCTTTCAATGCAATCTAGAGAAATTTTTTTTTTAATCTCAGAGTAGTATTGTAATTTCTTAGTTGTTTTTAATTATTATTGTTTGCAAACAATGGCAATATTGGTTCTAATCATAATTTCCAGTAAATGTGTTTGTCTGATTTTGCTTGGTATGTTATACTATGTATTAAATGATAGTGAGTGGTGATGGTGATGTTAAAAATAACACTACTATTATAAGAACACATCCATCAAAAGGTTCTAGAAAAGTATTTTAACATTAAAATAATAGAAAAAATAAACTATAAGATATAGAAATGAAAATTGGTTTTTATATAATCTTTGAGATATCCATAGGAAACTCATTTTAACATTTGTTTCATTTTTATTAGTTTTTGTTTTATTTGTAGATTACAATTTAATTACGAAAACAAACTATATTAAAATATTAATATTTATTATTAAGATAAAATATCTAAACCAATGAAGATGCTTTACGACTCTGTTTAACCAATGAGATATCCATAGAAACTTCATTTTAACATTTGTCTCATTTTTATTAGTTTATATTTTATGTGTAGATTACAATTTGATTACAAAAATAAATTATATTAAAATATTAAATTTTTATTACTAAAATACGATATCTAAATCAATAAAAATGTTCTACGACTCTCTTTAATATAGAAGCTTAGCTGGAATTACTTTATTGAATAAGTTGGTTTAGGAAAAAGTTGAAGACTTTGATGATTTAACAGGTGAGGTGAGGCTGCATTTATTCTCGTGAAAAAGAAAAAAGAAAACAGAAAAGCCATATTTTTAGTCCAAAAAAAAAAATAATAATAATAACAAAAGAGGAGGAGAAAGAAAAATAATCCAAACTAGAGTATGTATCTTTGCTGTCATGAGGAGAAAGTGAAACCAACATCAATTTTCACCATTTACTGAATTTACAAAGATTGATTCAATATTTTTAATTTAGTCAAAGAAACAGTACTTTTTATGTTTCTTCCTTAAGTGACTAATGCATTTTAATGGGAGAAGAGACCATACCTACTACTTTCTTCCACATATCAAATGCACACACCACAGGACAAAAAATATTTTCCCTCATATTATATTATATAATAGCAAAGTGGATATATTAACTACATAGTACTACTATATAATCTATAACCTCCTTAATCCTTTCCCAATTCAAGATCCTGTCTTTTCTCCCTTTCTTTAGATTTCTTTAAAACAAGATCTCAAATTCTGAATTTACAGAGAGAAGAATGCTCTCGACAACTCTAAGTGGAAACTATGGCTTCCCTCTCTGCATCTCTGGGATCGCTCAGAAATTCTCTGTCTCCAAAGAGTAAAACTGTTTCCGTTCATCTCTTCTCTCTCTCGATTGAGATCTCTCTGTTTATTTGACTTTTTGTCTCTCTCTCTCTCCATATATATGTTGCAGAATGGCAGATCATGACAAGAGAAGGAAGGGGATGAAGAAGAGAATGAGATCAGAAGGCAAAGATGAGTCGAGGAGTCACGGTGAAGAAGAAATGGGTGTGGAGAGATTTGATGAGCTATGGCTTCGAGAGAACGAAGATGTTAGAGATCTAGTTGCTTTATTCCAAGATCTAGGGTTCTGGAGCGTTTCTTCTCATACAGCTAAAGCTGCTTAGTGTTACAGAAATCCAAACCTTTTTTTAAGATCTCAGTGTGTTATGTTTCTTGTAAAACTGCAGATCAACAATTTCTTGTAGCTGGAAAAATCGTTAAAAAAATATTCCTGGTTGTTTTCACAGTCGTTTGTTTACACGTTTATTTGTCGTTGGTGTGATGATTTGCTGCCTCTTTTGGCCTTATCCTCTTCTTTTGGTTTTTAGTTCTGAGCTTATTTGTTGGATAACTGCTCCATAAGCTTTGATTTGTTGTATTAAAGGTTTCTAACAGTTGGGTTTTTCTTAACGATAATCATAATTTTGAAGGGTTTTTTGAAAGTCACAGTGACACCACGGAATGAATATAATAGAGGGCAAACCAGAGCTTAAGACTACCATGTAACTCTTCTTCTTACTTCAAAACACAACAGATCTAAAGAGCATGATATGGATGCGTTTGAACTGTGAGCAGTAAAAACGCACCTTAATGGACATTCAATGAAAATAAATTTTGTAGCACAACGAAATACTAACAAACTTTAGGCAAAATTATCCAAAAAACTGCATAATTGAAAACCATAATAGTCTCAGCGATATCCAAAAAGGAGGTAGAGAGAAGAGAGTCGCAGAAAATAAGAGAGAAAAAAAAAGAAAAGGCTCAAACGCCATCAAAGTTTTTTTTAAAAGCAGAGAAAACCAAAAGCCGAGAGAAGACTCATCATTTGGCTCCCTTCTTGACTGCAGCCTTGGTGACCTTGGCACCGGTTGGGTCCTTCTTGTCGACGCTCTTGATAACACCAACAGCCACGGTTTGCCTCATGTCCCTGACAGCGAAACGTCCCAATGGTGGATACTCGGAGAAAGTCTCAACAACCATGGGCTTGGTCGGAGTCATCTTAACCATACCAGCATCACCATTCTTCAAAAACTTGGGCTCCTTCTCGAGCTCCTTACCAGAACGCCTGTCAATCTTGGTCAAGATCTCAGAGAACTTGACTGCAATGTGAGAGGTGTGGCAATCGAGCACTGGGGCGTAACCGTTACCGATCTGACCAGGGTGGTTCATGATGATGACCTGGGAAGTGAAGTTAGCAGCACCCTTGGCAGGATCATCCTTGGAGTTGGATGCAACGTACCCACGCTTAAGATCCTTGACAGCAACATTCTTAACATTGAACCCAACATTGTCACCTGGAAGCGCCTCAAGGAGGGACTCGTGGTGCATCTCAACGGACTTAACCTCAGTGGTCAAACCTGAAGGAGCAAAAGTCACAACCATACCGGGCTTGAGCATACCAGTCTCCACACGACCCACTGGCACCGTTCCAATACCACCGATCTTGTAGACATCCTGAAGTGGGAGACGGAGGGGTTTGTCTGATGGCCTCTTTGGCTCGTTGATCTGGTCAAGAGCCTCAAGGAGAGTTGGTCCCTTGTACCAGTCAAGGTTCGTGGACCTCTCAATCATGTTGTCTCCCTCGAACCCAGAGATGGGGACGAATGGGATTTTGTCAGGGTTGTATCCAACCTTCTTCAGGTAGGAAGACACCTCCTTGACAATTTCCTCGTACCTACCCTTGGAGTATTTGGGGGTAGTGGCATCCATCTACAACAAGAAAAACAATAGTAAACACATATTAGTTAACATCAAATCAAGAGTGTATAATAACAATTAGCAAAGGAAATTGAAACGTTAGCTCACCTTGTTACAGCAGCAAATCATCTGCTTGACACCAAGGGTGAAAGCAAGAAGAGCGTGCTCACGGGTCTGACCATCCTTAGAGATACCAGCTTCGAAACCACCAGTGGTGGAGTCAATGATCAAGACGGCACAATCAGCCTGGGAGGTACCAGTAATCATGTTCTTGATGAAATCACGATGTCCAGGTGCGTCAATGACTGTGCAGTAGTACTTGGTGGTCTCGAACTTCCAGAGAGCAATATCGATGGTGATACCACGCTCACGCTCGGCCTTAAGTTTGTCCAACACCCATGCGTACTTGAATGACCTCTTGTTCATTTCAGCAGCTTCCTTCTCGAACCTCTCGATCACACGCTTGTCAATACCACCGAGCTTGTAGATCAAGTGACCAGTAGTGGTCGACTTTCCGGAGTCGACATGGCCAATGACCACGATGTTGATGTGAAACTTCTCTTTACCCATAGCTGCATATCAACAAACGATATCAAACCATTAGAATAAAACACACATAACATATTATCACGAATCAGCAAAAGCTCAAAACAGTATGGGTTAACTAATGTCATATATAATATAGATCCATTAACATACAATATTACACGGTCTTTTAAACTAATTATGAAATCGAATATCTAACAACAATGTAATGAATCTACATAAATAAAAACATCATCAACCAAACAAGTCAGAAAAGCGGATTCCATTGCAAAATTCGAAATAACAGGATGAAACGAAGACTAAGAAACAGATCGGATTGATTACGATTATAGCAACATGCGAGGCTAATAGCATATCAAATTTTCAAAAAGACGACATGACGAGAGTAAACGATGACTGTAATCAAGAAGATTCTCTATAAGAATCCGTTAAATTAGTAGTAAGCAAACAGATCGATGAGTAAACAGATCGATGAATAAACAGATCATAAACTCGAGAATCAAAACAGTATAACAGGATATAGTAAGCGATATCAAAGACGGCTTATGCTAAGAAATCTAAACGATGAAGACAAAAGCAAAGATACAGAAACTGAATCAGGAATCATAAGAAGATGATAAACTTAAACCTAAAAGGAGAATTTTCTTACCAGCAAGTAAGAATCTGAGAGGAGTCTTGCGGCTACGAAATTGAGAGAGAGCTAAATGAGAGCGCACCCTAAAAATGGAACAGATCAGGGTACTTATAGCTTCGAGTTCTAGGGTTTTCGCATATTCTTTGGGTTCTAGTTTACCAATTTGCCCTTGCGCGTTTTGGCTTTCTTATTTTTTTTTGTGATAAAAATGTAAAATATGTTCACAAGAAGAAAAAAAGAAGGGAAAGAAATATGCAAATTTTCATCTCTAACTTCTTTTTTTCCTGCCAAGATTCTCTAACTTCTTTCTAATTTTGAATGGCAAAATATACTCTTGTTTTTTATGTGATTGGTCAAGAAAACTTAAACTTGGAGAGAATATAAAGGACTTTAAAGTAAATTGCAGATGCGAAATTCTGCGCATTATCCAAAAATTCTCTTATTGATCATCACGATGATATAAAGCCCTAGCCATCGTGTGTTTGATAAATAGTACTCCCTCCGTTTCACAAAGAGTATCGTTTTAAGATTTTATTTTTGTTTCACAAAGAGTGTCGTTTTATATTTTCAATGCAAAATTTTAAATAATATTCCAGTTTTAACCCTATTAATTTAATGTATTTACTAGATAAAAACAAATCATTTAATGTATTAATAAGGGACAAAATTGTACTTTTAATAATTTTCTTAATATGTATGAAAAATGTCAGAATGACATTCTTTGTGAAACGGAGGGAGTATTTAGTTTGTATAAAGAAATCAGAGGTAATTCATTGGACATCAAACATTTATTTAATTATTTAAATGCATTCAGAAAATGAAGTTGTTGATTAAATTTCGGTTGCTAGATATACAAACAGCCTCTCAATTTTTTTTCTCAGCTATTTATGAGAGCTGACTACAGATGATTTTCTTACAAAACGTTACAATCAAGCATCATGAAGCCGGCCCATATATATCACCATTTTTCTTGTACTTTAAGTTATGTGTTGACATAGAAAATAATCAACTGTTTGTGTTCCAAATTTTGCTTAGATTTTTACTTTGCTTAATCAAATCTTCTCTAGTAGGTAGGCGACATGCATACAACATTTAACAAATTGAGAATAAGTTATTCAACACAATACGAACAAACTGATTCTTCAATTAAACAAGAACAGTTAGCTTTCATAACGAATTTATTTAAAACATGTTATCAATAGTCAACTAAAATCAAGATGTTTTAAAAGAAGCATTGACTAACCTTATTCATTAGTTTTTAATCCATAGACGTATAAATAATACTGTAAAATGTGGATTAAATTAAAAATTGGAAACAATGGTACATTGGTACATACAAGGTGTGTGTACAAGAAAATAACAATTCGTTTGAATATTGGAAACGATACACCGGAATCAAATCGCTACACACTATGCAAGAACTAAAATGAAGAGGGAAGCAAATGTGCAAAAGACTAAACATGTTAGCACTGAGCAGGTTTTGATCAAAGCATCAAACTTTAGCATTCTAGAGAAGGAGTCTCTCTTGGTGGTGAGCTCGGGCCAGGAGATTCGAAACTCGGATTTCCAGGGCAAGACTTAGCAAATTGGCAAAACCGACATTTCCAACGTTCTTCTTCAGGTGTGTACTCAGCTTCTCTTTCACATCTCCAAAACTCAATGACTTCTCTGTATTTACTCATCACCCACTCAGGATCATAGGGGAATCTAATCTCAGCTATTATGGATTTGTCCTTCTGAAACTCGTACCTGACCCAAAGATTCCAATCAGCTGTGCTACAATCAGATTATCAATGTGTTATATAAGATTAAGAAAGACAACATGTTCTTCTTACCGTAGTAGTAACTGATCATTTGCTATCGGAAGCATCTTAAAAGTGTTATCATAGTACCTAACTATCTCTTCAAGTGTCTGCATCGAGTTAAAAAAATGGTAAGAATATCAATAAATTCATTTCCAAGTGAGTGAAATTTTTGTTTCATACGATCACAAATGAAGACTATTGAACGAATCTTGTGGCAGAGTCAAAGATTATAATACCCGTGCTGGGATTCCTGCATCAGCAATGTTATCTCTGACATCTTGCGATAAGACACAGTGGCGATCCAAAGAGAAGTAGTCGAAAAAGCGTCCTGCCGGAAACTCCTCTTTCACAACAGTGTCCCATAGAAGCTTGTAAAGCATTACCTGTAGCCTATCAAACGTTATTAATTTAAAGTATACTAAAGCATTGAACTTATAAGGATTAAAACCAAAACCGAAATGAAGAGCATTTTCTTTACAATACCAAGCACTTACCTTCCATTCCTTCTTTGTGGCTCAGCTGGGAGTGTGTCACGGCTTCGAGTCTTTGTATCGGTCAAAAGCGGTCCGCTAGCCGCAGATGCCTTAACCTCGTCAATAATTCCAACAATCCATTGACCTCCAACAAATCCTACGCTGGTGATATAGACAATGAAATGAATCACTTTTCACGGATACATTATCAGGTGAGCAAATGTGCAGAACGTTTGGTGCAAAGAACAAAACATAGTTGAAGTTACATCACGCGGGAAAGGCAAACATAGTTAAAGTTACATTTGAAAATATACTACAAAACATTATCCTGCTAGCAAAAGGTGAAAGCTATGTCTATGAGAATGCACAAGGAAATAAACCGAATCGGAACCAGAGGCGTAGAAGGGACTTACAGTAGCAATTCACGGGTTCGTCCTTCAAACAAGAACTGGTTAACGCCTGCGATGGAACTCAACAGCTTCAAGGCCCACTTATCTTCATTTGATTCAACTCTTACTCTAACCTTTTTGATTACCTGTCCATTATTTGCAGAACAGTTATGAGATGGTTTCATCAGATTGATCAACATTGTTGCCAAATCAAGCTAGAAACAATGAGACACCATGAAAAACCCAGCACCAACTAATAAGCGTAAGATCAATCATATATCATACCTCTTCTTCAAGCTCCAAATGACGAGCCTGACCAAGTTTCATAGCTTTGCTGACTTTTCTCCTGCCAAAACAAAGAACATTCTCCATTTGTTTCTCACACCATTCCTATGACCAACCAACCAAAAAAAGAAACTTAATCCATTATTCGAAGAGAAAATTGATGAAATACTAAGGAAGAGATCAACGTACTGTGCCGGTGAGATCAGTGACACCCAAAGCTTGATTTTTTCTAAACCGATGCAAGAAAGAATCTTCAATATCCGAACAAGCCGAGAATTTCCTTTTGGGTAATATGGCTATTGGACGGATAGTTTTGGGGCTTCCGCCGGCGAGGATCCGCGACGGAGAAGCAGCCGATCGGATCACGGAAGGGAAGATCGAGCGCGTGGCTGCAAGCGCTGCATCGAGGATAGCCATTTCTTCTTCACTGACGATCTCGATTGGGATCTCGGGGAAGGAGGCATTGCCATTTTGTGGGGTTGAAATAGCGATAGTGGCGGATTGATCGGGCGTGGAGGATGTGGTGGTAGGCGAGTCGGAGGTTGACTCGGAGGGTGACTCGGCCATGTTTTAAGCGGAAGTAACGTGTGGTTTTTGTGTCCTTTCGTGGCGATGTAAAAAATTTAAACACAGAGGTGAAAAAAGAATTGTAATTAAACATTGGGATTTGTAGTAAAGGTTTGTGTTAAGCTTTTTGTGAATGGGATTTTGTAATTAAACGTTGGCTTTTTGTTAAACACACTTGTAATAAAAGTTTGTGTCCCAGAAATGAAACTAACCTTAATCTATGTCAATTGGTCAGAAATTTCTTGAAAACTAAGCATTCTATGGTGAGATCCATGTGAACACTATAGATCTTGTCAACTTCGTTTTACAATTAGTTTACAATCAGTTTACAGGTCTAATTACCAAAACAAAGCAAGTACTGATGTTCAATACCTTACATATCGAAGAACATTGATGTAACTACAAGTCTACAAGTCATAACTTTGTAAGCTATGCGTAAAAAAAATTGACTGAGGATGAAGAACAATGCTATTTCGGTATAAATCAATATGGTCTTAAATTTGACATGGATATATCGTATGTAGTTTTTGCATTATTTTGTACATATGAACAGACCCTATGTTACAACAAGCATAATAAACACTATGCACTTCCGAGACCCAACTTTCAAGTAATGTATTAATCCAATAAATATGCGAGAACATATTGTAATCTAAACATTGACCAACCACATTCGCTGATTGATCATCTCAAGCCACAACCGGGTACGATGCACATGTCGCAATACCTGCAATTCAAGAACATATTAACAAAAGATAGAGAGAGACCAAATGAAAACATCTGAGAATCTGACTCTCTTAACTCTTTCTTTAAAAAGAAGAACTTACCACACATGTTCTTGCCCATCTCCATCTTGAAGTAACCTTTATCACCCCAATCCGCTCCCCATGAGTTCTTTATAAGCCAATATGGAACACCGTCTTCAATTCCATATCCAACCGCCAAAACCGCGTGGTTCACATCCTATTGCCACATATAAAAAACGAATTGAACACTAGGAAGCTAAGATGATTCTACCTGCAACAGAGTGTAAGATTCATTTAGCATTTTTTGAGCAGTTTGAAGAAGAAAGTCTCACCATTGGAGTATTTCCACAGTGACTATCAGTGTAAACTCCGCTCTTGTAAAGCCGGAATGACTTTACAACCTCGAATGCTATGCTTACTGGCCGTACTAATCCAACCGCATGCTTCAATTCATCTTCAGCACCCTGTCCTTGTTATTTTTGTTTCAATCGTCATTACAGATTACAGAATGCATATATATTCAGGCGAATGAAAAAAAAAATCAAAAATCTGTAAAAAGATGCTTACCAGAGTAATGTTGACTGAGTCGAGGACTTGTACACCGACGTTTTCAGCCGAATACTTGCAGGTTCCATCTTTACCGGTGTAAGGATAAGCTTCCTCTGTGTCTAGGCCACCGTTGGATTTAATGTACTCAAAGGCTTGGGAAGGAAGGCCACCATTGCAGCCATAGTTGTTGAAAGCACCAGCACAATCCACAAGCTGTTGCTCAGAAAGAGATATTCCTTTTCCAAATGCCTGATGGTAAGCTGCCTCAAGAGCTCCAGTCGTGCTGTGGTGAGAATCGATCATATTGTATCAAAAGATCCCCCCAAAATTTCAGAAGATACTAATTACCTGAATGTCATAGGTTTTACCTGAATGTCCAGCAAGATCCACAACCTCCCTGGTCTTTGACCGGGCTAACAATACCATCTTCTCTCCAGTCTTTCTGCACATAAACGATTTGAGGACTCAGAACCAGACTAAGGAAAAAAGGTTTGCAGGTAATCACGTTTTCTTAAAGCTGAAAATCAGGAACTGGATGGTCTCGGTGCACCAAGATTGAGCCGTCCTGGACTTACCGTTTCCGGAAGAGCTGCTTCAGTGAGTTTGTGGCTGCCCTTCAAAGTGGCAGAGCAGTTTTGAGCAGCACCAAGCTTGTTCCTTTGAAACTCTTGCCAGGTTAAATCAGCGAACTCTGTATAGATTCAATAGAAAGTTATCAACATTCAGATCCTTATCCATCAAACCACTAGCTATGTCTGCCCAAGAACAAACGAGGATCCGACCCCACTAAGAGCAAGAATAATCTCATAAAGAATCAGAACAATAAATTCGATGCTAAATTTTCAAGCAAACTAGTCTTCGCAAGCTTTAGACCAATAACAAATCTTAAATCACGTGAATTAAGTAAAAGCTAAAATCCAACTTTAAGAAGAAAAAAAAATCAATTAACATCCCAAGACGGGAAAAGTTAGTTTCCACGTTTCACGTTTATGTACATGTCACTTCGTTTGACCTGTTTTCACTCAGAGACTTACGATTGACACCGAGTTTGTAAGATAAGCGTTTCTTGTTGGTAGATCTGATTAAGTCGAGATTCTCCTTAAAAATCGAGAATCGGAGCTTTATCTCCTCCGCGTTCTGATACTTTTTCCCATATCTTCATCACCCAGAACGAACAAGCGTTTGCGTATCAAAAACCAACGAAAATAGAACGGATTAAAAACTCGACGGCGGTGGAGGATTGGGACTTACCGGTGAGTGAAGCGAGCGAAGGAGAGAACGTGACGAGACTGACCTAAGATCTGGACAACAGATTCCTCTATCTCCCGGAGACCGTCGGAGACCATACGGATCGGATTGGACTCATCGAATCCGATATCCGCCGCGGCCGATGCGGCGATGAGAATCACCAGAACCACCGATGGTAGGATTGTTTTCACAGACATGGTTTCTTCTCGTGGTCTTCTGGTTCTTACTTTTTCTCAACGCTACAGCTTCAGTGGTTTAGCTCGAGAGATAGAAGGAAGACTAGAAGACGGAAGAGAGATACGGCCGGGAAAGTTATCGGGACACGTGGTGGAGTCTGAATGGACAGTATTTGTCCTACATACTTGGAATGTTGACGTGTATCGTGATGTCATTGTATTCCACCAAGAACTCAATCATTTGTTTCATGATTTTTATACGGGAAATTGCAGAATAACCCATGGATTTTGGTTTATTCAGTCTAGAACCGTAACTATTTGTTTTCTTATTTTATGTTGCAATCGATCGTCCCTTAAAATCGTCTTATGTTCTGATGATATAATTTTATAGTTAATTTCTCATTTGCTACTAAGACAAATGTTGATAGTTGTTGTCCAAACAAGGAACCAAAAACTAAGAAACAAAAGAAGAACTTGAAGAATATTAAAAAAGAAATGGTTTATATTAGATGATTTGATTATCCAAATACAACACATATATATATATATATAGCAACACACGCAATTTCATGCACACAGAAGCGCCAGAAAATTTGCAACATGTATACTGTACTTAATTATATTATCAATTTGCAAATCCTTCTCATCGGATTATTTAGGAAAGTTCCAGCTGCAACTGGAAATCTTCTATTGATTCCGTTGCTGCTTAATTTGAGTACCTTCACTTGCATGCGTTGCTGCTTTGAACTCCTCTAAGATCAAACATCTTCACCTTATTGAAACTATCAATCTTCCTTGGAGGCGATGAGCAACTTGTATGAACAAACGTCTTCACCGGCTTATTTGATGATTTGCCTCTTTTTGGTACGTCTCCTTCTAGTGCTATCTGACTCATTTTCCAGAAACATAAGCTTCCAAGATTTGGAAGGCATCTGTTTCTCTTATGTTCCTTTGTTGCTTTCTCCATCTTCCACCGATCTTTTGTTTTGGGTTCGTGTTCAAGATAAATTTGTTGAAAGATAAACCCCCCAGAACAAGTGTTAATTTAAATATGATTTATGACTTTTGTTTGTGCTTCAGCGTGAAGGCCTTATATTTTGCATTATATAGAAACACAATGAACTATTGCCATAAAAAAAACCACACTCACGTCAACTGTAGTTTTTTTGTGTGTGTGTTTATGCCCTATTTTTAAATACGCGTTAACAGAGATGACTTCCCACGCGTTGAATTTTCTTCTCTGTGTTAACTATTTCTCAGTTCTTCTGATCACAGTATTTACCAGTACCACGATGTCAGTTGTTTGAAGTTTCCCAAGTATATTCTTTTACTGACTATTAATTCATCTTAAAAAAATGTGATGAACTTTCGACCAAAAAAAAAATAAAAAATGTGATGAACTCACGTAAATATATCTCATAATAAAAAGGTCCTTTCTTTTGCTATGATGTCCGTAGGTTCGTTAAATTACTTCGCTATCCATGTGAATTTAACAAACATGCAGACACTTTGCAAAAGGAAGGATTCCAAATAAAATATTTTTTCATGTAACTACTCAAACTTTAAATTGTGATCATTCTTATTTTTTTCTTAATACAATCAGGTTTTTTTTTAAAAAAAGAAAGTTTTTTCAAATTTTTACCTTTTTCCAAGATCAACCTTTTATAAGTTATAATAAATCTTCCATTTCATTAATATTGAGCAATATTCTACCCCCATTTTGAATATCTTATATTGTTTATCTATTTTCGCCAACTAGTCCATTGTTGACTAAACTAATACTCCATTCATTATTAGCTATACCCCAGTTTCCAAGCTAACTGATTGTGTAACAAAGTTGTTTTAATTTTAATTTTATTTTTAAAGAAGAAGCAAAACACAATCCTCGTGTCTAGGAGATATTCAACCATTGACCTTTTTGCTTATAGATTACAGAAGTACAGTTAAATACCAGAAAAAAAAAACAAGCAATCAGACTTTTTAAGCGTTTAGTAAATTTTCCTAAATATTAACTTTAGTACATCTTCATAAACTTGTATAAGTCTTTCACAAAACCAAAATAAACTTGTGAACCAAGAGTGTGTGGCCCAGTGGTTTGTTCGGCTTAGAGAGCACTCATCATGTATTCATGTTAGGCCTGGGCATTCGGATATTCGGTTCGGTTTCGGTTTTGGATATTTCAGGTAGAGGAAGTTAGGATCCATCGGGTATTTTTATAAATTTCGGTTCGGGTTCGGTACCTTTATTTCGGTTCGGTTCCGGTTCAGATAATCGGATCCGGATCTTTTGCCTCAAATTTTTAATTCGACTCACATTTTTTTAATAACAAAAATTCAAAAATATATATATCAAAATTTAAAAATATACTCAAAAGTCCCAAAAAAAAAAGAAAATATATCTGTAAAACCAGAAATATATACCAAATATCAAAAATATCAAAAAAAAACTAATATTTAGAAGGATATATAATTATACTTTGGATAATTCGGATACCCAATCGGTTCTCGGTTCGGTACTAGTTCGGTTCCGGTTCTTCGGGTATAAGAGTTTAAGATCCATCAAATATTTTTAAAAATTTCGGTTCGGATTCGGTACTTCCATTTCGGTTCGGTTCCGGTTCGAATATTCGGATCCGAGTTTTTTGCCTAGGCCTAATTCATGTGTTATTGTATTTTGTGTTGGTCGTCTAGGCCAGAGAATGAGTTTTACCATCCACGAAAATTGTTGAGATCCTTCTTCTCCATTTTAGGCATTCTAAGTGATAAGAATATCCATGATCTACCCCGTTTCAAAAAAAGCCCTAAACCCTATAGTATATATTTGGAATTTTTGGATTTCACTGGTATTCTTTAAAAACGAAACATAAGGTGTAGCATATTATGTCTAACGACTAAATGGATAATTTTCTATATGTTTTTTTTTATATATTTGTGCGCATTCAACTAAAACATCTTATAAATTAAATGAAAAAAATATGTACACATATCTGTGACTGTGATTCTCATCGATATGTTATATGACATATTGACATATGTCATAGGATGTGTCAACGACGACGAGTTCGTTGGTTTTGTTTTGCTTCTCTTCTTTCTGAGGCCAGCGTGCACGTCATTTACCCGTCAGCGCCTTTTGGTTTCTGCTTCTTCGTTGTATTTAGGGAGATCTCAGCGAGATCGTGACATAAGCATGGATCAAACAAAACATAAGAAGATACATCATATCTTTAGAAATATCATTATATTATTTTCCCTATATCTCATATAGAAAGAATGTTTTGACTTTGTTTGCTCAGGGTATTGGAACAGCCCGCAAGCCAACCATAAGTATATCATAAATGGTCAAATTAAGAGTAATTTTCTAAGTGTAAACCAACTTTAAAGGATGATACAAAGGAATGGAGTATGGGTCTTCTGCGCTAGTTTAACCAATTGATATCCCTCTGATAACGAAATTATATCTACTAGAAAATAATATAAAAATGACGAAATCGATTGGCAATATATTATACAAAAAAAATCTAAAACTTGTGTACACTGTACACGTCAAAATTTGGTTATTGGGTTGCTCAGAACTTACTTAAACCTCTTGATCCGTTTAGAAAATTAACCCAACTTAAAATCTTAACGTGCATTAAGCGTTAAAAATTAAAAGCCCACCTCTTGGGAGCATTACAATGATGAATAGTGAATTTTATCGGCACCGAGATTCTTTCCATTTCCAACAACCTCCAGACTTGACCTTTTCTTTACGCGAGTGAAAATATTAATTTATTTACTTTTACCGCATAGGTAAGACAAAGCCCGCGGATCAATTTATTTACTTTAATGGACCGGATCGGTTTTCCAATTCTTTTGTTTTTCCTTTTAACGCCGTTAGATCTTAACGTCAAACATTTTGACGGCACTTAGGTTCAAAGAAGAACCTTAACGCCTTTTTGGTAAAGCCCTACCTCCTTCGCGCGCCGCTTGTTTTGTTCTTTCGAGCTCCTCTTCACTTCCAATCTTACGCCGGCGAGGCTGAATTGATTTTAGGCTAATAGAAAGAAAGCTTAATGGCGGGACTTAACAACGGGACGAGGCGACTAAGGCCGAACCTACTGATTACGGGGACTCCTGGTACCGGTAAATCGACGACGGCTTCTGCTCTGGCCGAAGCCACGAATTTCCGTCATATTTGCGTCGGAGATCTGATCAAAGAGAAAAACTTGCACGAAGGCTGGGACGATGAGTTCCAGTGTCACGTCATCAACGAAGACCTGGTGAGTTTTCCTCTTGCTCGAACCAAATCCCTAAATCTTAGTTTCCTTCATCCTCAATTTCTCTTAATTGGGACGCTTATCAGACTTTGCGGATTGTTGTAGAACTTCTAGGTAGTGATTAATCATATCTCAGCTCTTCTCGGTGGAATTGCCTGTGAGGGTTGTTTCTATATTGAGTAATACACTAAAAGCTTATCTCTTTAATCAGACAAATAGATTCGAAGTCATCACCAGATTTTACCACTCTTGAATCTTTGGCAATCTGAGTCATTACTTGTAATTTATTACTTAGCCATTGTGGGTGGTTGAAGTTGATGAATTATCCAGACAAAATTTATTGGTTATATATCAATGCCAAGTTTCATTATCAGGTGTCTGAAGTTACACGGTTTTGTTTAATTACAATGGAAGTTGTCGATTTCATCTTTCTGATTACTTGTTATTGAACATTCAAATCATTAGCTCGCATGAGAAGAGTCTGTCTTAGCTATCATCGTGTTTAACTTTGATCAGGTGTGTGATGAGCTTGAAGATGTAATGGAAGGAGGAGGGAACATAGTGGACTACCATGGCTGTGACTTCTTTCCTGAGCGATGGTTTGATCGCGTTGTGGTGCTTCAAACTGAGAACTCCTTCTTGTATGACCGTTTAACTAAGAGGTCAGAATCCAATCCCCTCTTTCTTCATCAAAAGCGTAGTTTAGTTGTTTTGCTTTTTTTTAACAGGTTCTCTGATTTTGTTCTCAACCAAAGCAGGGGTTATTCGGGAACCAAGCTTAGTAACAACATGGACTCTGAAATCTTCCAAGTCCTGCTCGAGGAAGCAAGAGATAGTTATAAAGAAGAAATTGTCACCGCGCTACAGAGTAACACAATCGAAGATATCTCTAACAATGTTGCAAGTTTGACGGATTGGATTACAACATGGCGGCCATGAGAATCATCATATTGGAATCTGATGACAATGCATCTTTCAATGGTTATATGATTCAGTGTTTTTAGTAGTTTGTTTTAAATGGAGTCTGAATCGATCTTTTTGTTGCACTTTCTATACTTATATTCTGAAACACAGTTCAGCTGTTGCGATCAACTTATGTATGTTCCTTTTGATATTTATTTAAAAGAAAAAAGTTTGTATCTTTCTTATCGTGTTTTTACTGTAAGAAGTTACAAATGTTGAAGCCTGGATGTTCTGATAAGTCATGATTGAGAATTCATAAGTTTGTAATGCAATTTAATAATCTCATTTGGAGCTCAAAAGTCGAATAAACTGCGAGACAAGTAAGGTACGATCAAACTTGAAATAGAAAAGTCTGTGTCTTATCTTGTTTGACGAGGTTAATTTTCCTTGTCGTCATTCTTTCTAAGAAATTTTGATCATAAGATTAGCATCTCATCCTATACTGTTAGCAACTGGAGAATAATCTGGCAAAGTTTGTATCTTTCGACTTTTGAATGGCGTGTCTATAAGCTGTTCGACTAAAAGACTCAATGAGACGCATTTTCTGAATTTTTTTCTTGTTTTGGTTGTTCAGGTGAAGCAATGCTGGCGAAGACATTTCTTCCGAGACATATTCTTGTTTCGAGGTGTTTCTCATCAGTTACTTCAAAGAAACTTAAAGTTGGAGATACATTAAGAGAAATAAGAGTGTTCTCAAGTGATGATATTAAGGACTATGCTGAGGTGAGCCATGATTGGAACCCACTTCATTTCGATCCAGAATCTGCCCGTAAAGCTGGATTTGAGAATCGTCTTGTCCATGGAATGCTTGTGTCTTCTATGTTTCCCCGTATTATCTCTACCCATTTCGTAAGTTCTCTACTTTTTGAGTTTATCTTCGACATATGTCCTAATGCCTGATTTTACAAATTTACAGAAACATGATTGAATCTTTTTGGTCTTTGTTGCAGCCTGGAGCAGTATATTTATCTCAAACTCTGCATTTTCGATCACCAGTTTACATAGGAGATGAAATTCTCGGATTGGTTCAAGCCACAGCTTTGAGAGAAACCAAGAATAAGTACATGTAAGCAAAACAACAATTGAATTTAGAAAAAGTCAGTCAATTTTGTTACTCTCTATCATAACGAGATCCTCATTTTTCGCTTTGTTAGTGTCAAATTCTCAACCAAATGCTTCAAGAATCACAGTGAACTTGTTGTTCTTGATGGTGAAGCCACTGCAATGTTACCAAACCTGGAGATGCTACAGCAAGAGTCGTGCCTCACCAATAAAGCTTTGCCTTAAGCCACTTAATTTGTTTGTATAATTAAGGTCACATCTGACATTTCTATGCAAGTTGTTTGTTTCAATTAGTCAAGTTATTCTTATTTGCCTTAAAAAAAATTAACTTTTGAACCACTATAATCGTATGTATTTTTTGATTAATCAAGAAGAGAGAATTTAGGAAGGGGATTTGTTGAAACTTGAAAGCTTATAGATAGGGGAAGACTGACTAAGTAATACGCCGAACTAATAATTTGAAATAACGTCAACAACATGTTTTTGAAAAAATTAATTTGAGATAAACGAAAAAAAATCTAAACAAAAGCACCGTGATCTCTCCAACAACATCCCTTATAAAAATATAACAACATTTTTCAGAATGTGGGAAGAAAAAAATCGAGATCAAAGATGGCAAAAGGAGGCATCTCTTTCAGATCAATCCTTCTCCATTCTCTCTGGACAACTCTCACTGGAATCCTCTTCTTCACTCTAGCCACCACGAAAAACCACAATTTTGGTTACATCAAATTCTTTTCGATATCAGGAACACTACTCATAACCTTACCTTGGTTAATCCAACTTATGGTCACTTCTGCTGTCATAATACTTTATAAGACCATAGGTTACAACCTCATGTGGATTGTTCAGTCACCAACATCGGAAGAGAATCATCTCACAAACGTCGTCACCATTTCTTCTTCATCATCTCCTCTTTCGTCTCGTCAGGTTCTGAAGAAAGGCGATACGGATGAGATCGAGATTAGGATTGTGATTGGTGCTGATGGTCCACGAAGTCCAAAGGATGGTTCCTCTGCACATCGTTTGGTGATTGAAGGAAGAAACGACACCGAACTTCTCACAAATGGTTCACCTGTCGCTTAAATGCGTCTCTGTTCTTGTTCTTGCTCTGTTTTTTTGTTTGTTCTTTCATTTTCTGCTGTTTTTAAAAGACTGTGGTCTGAAACTTGTAGTGCTTACAAGTTTTGTAATATTTTCGTTGTAAGTTTCATTGGTAATGAATTTCGATTGCTATTATATAACTTTTGTACTGTTTCAATCACAGAGTCACATTCAAATTTTCTATTAACAAATCGACAAAGTAGCTAAACCAATATACACACACATTGATTACAAGAACTAAGAAAAGTTCTTAGTTTTTCACCTTCCATCTCCGTATGTGATTGTGTGAGTAACGAACATGGAGTTATGAGGCGAAGGAGGAGAAGCTGATGGTGCTAAAGAGCATCTTGAAGTGAAGGCTGTCTCCAGCAAAACCGGAGTAGAAACTCCAATCCCTGGAGAATCTGGTGAGAAAATGGGTAATGGGAGATTCTTGTTTATGTATTGTACAACTTGTTCCATGGTTGGTCTTGATTCCACCACAATGTTAGTGCAGAGCAATCCGAGTTTCAGAGCCATCTCGGTTTCCTCTTCTGAGTATTCAAGTCCCATTCTTGTATCTATAGCATCAGCCAGAGAATCCCTTCTCCAGCAATCACAAATCCATTTGATCAAATGCCGTTTCTCATCTGCAATCTTGAGATCTAATGGTCTCCTTCCACAGATTACTTCAAGCATGAACGTACCAAATGCATAAATATCAGTTCTTGTAGAAGCTCCCATTGTTGTTAGCTCAGGTGCCATGTAACCCATTGTTCCTACAGCTGCTGTTCCGGGTAAGCTATCTCCGTAATCTTCAAACCTCGCCATTCCAAAATCTCCTAACCTTCCATTGAAGTCAGAATCTAACATGACATTAGAAGCTTTTATATCTCTGTGTAACACAACTTGGCTAGCTCCTGTGTGCAGATAGTTCAGAGCAGATGCAATATCCTTCAGAATCGCAAACCTTTGCGACCATGAAAGAAACGGTTTTTCTCTGTGAAACAAGTATCGATCAACACTGCCATTGCACATATATTCAGAGACCAGAAGAAGCTCTCCTTTCCTTCTGCAATATCCGAGAAGAGGAACTAAATTTCTGTGCTTTAAACTTCCCATAGTCACCACTTCAGCCACAAAACTGTTTCAAGCCTTGATTTGCATCGTGGCAAACTCTCTTTACCGCAATATCTCCAATGCGAGGCAGGTTTCCTCTGTAGACTTCTCCAAAACCTCCTTTCCCTAAACGACCATCTTTGTCAAACCCTTTTGTTGCTTTGTACAGAGATTTATAAGAAAACCGGTGTGGACCGTATTCTTTTTCCCATGCTTCCCTGAATTCTGCATACTTGTTTCTCCTGTATAAGTAAACTCCTACAAGAGCCACCAACGTTATGAGTGCTAGTAACACGAGTAAAGCGATAAGCAGAGGAGAAGTTTGCTCCTTCTTGGCTCTTGGATGAGGAATCTGAGGAAGTTTTGATAAGTCCAGTCTCTGCAACAACACTCTGCTTCTGCTGAAACTCCATCCTAAGATATATTGGTAACTAACCAACGACCCTGTTGCTGCAGAGAATCCGAAGAACCATTTTTGATCTGAGAAGATGTCAGTAAGGTTGATGGGTCTTGACAAAAGAGGATGTTTTGGCTTCTGGATTCTTAAAGGAGCCAATGTGACACTGAGGATAGCGTCTTCATAGTCCACCCAGACTTGTAAAGGGTCTCCACTTAAGAGCTTTATGCTTTGATTCTTCCCTTTGGTGTTTGAAAAGTAAGAAGCTGAAGCGGACTCTACAGACTTCAGGCTGTTTATGTTTATACCTACATGATTCTTGTCGATATCATCAAACTCTGCGCTTTGGACGGTATCTAGCTCAATAGCTAGAAGCTGAGAAGATGGAGATCCATTTGTTGAGATGTTGAAAAGTCCCAAGTACTGAGTTGGATCTGCTTGTGTGAAATCTATGGAAGAAGATACAACAAAGGCAATTCCATGGCCACTATCAGCTCCCGGTTAAGGCACAAGTGCGCACACAAAATGAGTCGAGAAAGAGAGTTTCTTCACAGATGGATCAAACTCGAATGGCTGCTTGAAGAAAGCATGACCCATTTGCTGCGTCGAGGCGTTGGTAAGCTGCAATAATCCACTTGGAAAGATGATTTTTGCAGCTCCATCTAGATGAAGATCAGCTTGAGCTTGGCCAAAGCCATCGTAGATGAAACTGGCTTCTTCTTGTTGACTTAACAAGCAATTCAGATGATTAAAGAAGATCAATAAGATCAGATGCAATTCTTGAGCAACCATTGCTGATGAAATAAAGACAAGTCACTGTTTTGGTTTATATGAGTCAATTCAAGATAAAAACTTCTCAAGAATTCAAGGCCAAGTTTCTACATTCCAAGTTCAATTCTCTTTAGGAAATGTATTTCATATGAGCATCTCCTGAGTTGATTTTACAAAAAAATGAACTGGATTTAAATTGTAACGATGACAGTTACCTTTAACCTTTGTTTTATGTTGTGTTCATACAATAATTATATTGTCTTCTTGTCTGGTTCTAACACATGTCTCACTCAAATGACTTAATATACACATGGCTTGGATAATGAAGCCAATGTATCAGTTTAAAGTATATTATCTCGGATTATCTTCAATATAAATTACACTACTATCATCTAAAGAAATCCAATATAAATAGAGTTTAAACATGACTAATACAATTTACATGTTATTTATGTTCAGTTATCCACATGTTTAATAAGCCCCATCACCAAACCTCTTAAAGTCAACGATGGTGAAATGAAGAAATACACTCATAAAATGAAATTCAGAAAGAAATAACGAAATTATGATTTCGATCGATAATGTTTGAAAGCTGGTATTAGCTTTTGTTCCTAATCAATTTTACAACAACGACTGACATGGCTTACATATATCATTTACCGTTCTAATTTCTACTCTACTGTAGTTTTATGGTAAATCAAGTAAGATAAAAGATTACGAGTAGGTTTTTGACCAATACGTTTACAACCTTAACTATAATTTGAATCGCAAACAAAAAAGTTAGATTTTTTATTTCAAAGTCGTAACTGTTATAAAATTATGTATTTAGGCTTGGGCGTTCGATTTTTAATTATTTCAAGAAGATGCAAGAGTATGAATGGTTTATACTTTATAGTAAGTAACAGTGGAGATGTCTACAAGAAACTTTCCGGGAAATTGGATAATCATTGGTTGCCTATCATCTCGTGTAGCCGTTGAGCGGACAAATTCATTGATTTGGGACAAGTGACATATAAAAACATATTATTGAAAGCTAATAATACCTGGTTTCAGCTATCTACATTTGGTATTATTACCGACGGTATTGAACCCCATCATATAACACGATGATCACAAGTATCTAACGCTGACAACATATTTTTGATTTATTGCTGAATATTATTATTTAATAAATTTTAACATTTTTGTTTCCTCTGAATAACTCCTATATAAATGTACAATGGAGTCGGAGGTGAAACTGGGGCAACAAACCAAAATATTTGAGAATAACTCAATCATTCAACAACGGCCGGTCGGTTCGGTAACTGGCAAACTCCGGTTTACTGACAATTTATTATATTATATAAAGAGTGAGTTGTGTCTCACAAGTTTGACAAAAATTGGAAGAACTTGTTCCTCTAGTACTTTTTTAAAAAAATTTGTCTCTTTACTACTTATGTCAATTATAATCCTCTTTTGCCCTTAAAAAATGAATTTTCTCATATTTATATAATTACAAATAGAAATTAAAAAAAAAATCACAATACAATTACGGGACAAAAATAACAACCATCGTCTTTCCCAAAATTGGAACCATCGTTTTCCCCAAAATTGGAACCATCGTTTTCTCCGCTCTCTCTCAATCGAGTTTCCAGCAGAGTCCTTCTTCAATTATCATCAATCTTCTCATCCAATTGGTAACCTGTTCAATCTATTCACTCTATCTTTTGTTCAATCTCAATACTAGGGTTTAAAATCCCAAATTGATTTTGGGTAACTTGTATACAGGCTGAGATATATCGGTGATAAGCAGTCATCGCTATCAGAGAAAAGAGAAGAAGAAAAAAAAAAAATCTTCAAAAATATGTTAAAAACGTGAAAAACAGAAAAGGAAAAGAAAATATTTTCAAATATTTAATTTTTGTTGGATAACACCTGATCCTAGATTTTTTCAGATTTTATTAACCGTTTAGTAGAATACGGATTCTATATTCACTAGAACGAAGACAAATAAGTAGAAGTCTAATTCTAGAAAACATAGAATACATAACGATTTCTAGAATACATATTCTAGAATGTGTAGAATATATTACGAATTCTAGATAACGTATTCTACATGATGTTATAGAAAACAAAACAAATAGTAGAATATGTATTCTATACTCGGTAGATCTTATACCATATACTAGAAATCAATTCTATAAAACTCTAGAAATGTAGAAAACGTTTTTTAGAACATATAATAAATATATTTTAAATATATGTATTTCCTTAAACGATGTTTTAATATAATATTCTTTCCTTTTTAGAATTTACGAAATTTAAATGTATTTATAATTATTTATTTCGAAATATAACAATATTTAATAAGGTCATTTTTGTCCAAAATTGACAAAACTCAAAAAAATACTAAGGGGACAAAACTCTTTATTTTTTGTCCTATATTTCCAATTTTCCCTTTTTTTAATTCAAATGTTTCTTCATCTAAAGTCATTGATTTGAGCTTATTATATGCTAATTTTCAGTACCCAAATTTTCTACTTCTACAGAAATCATCCCAACAAGTGAAAAGATGTCAAGAAAATATAAATGTGCGACCAAAGCCTAGAAAATATTTTAAAATCATGCAAGTCTTCTTACCAGATAGCATATTGTAATGGAACTATAGAATCATAAGACGTCATTTTGAGAAAACTTGGGCTGATGGTTTTTGAATCTGAACTCAACTGCATCAATAAGACTGATGCTGCGCTTATTGAAAGTGTGAAGATTGTGATTCAAAACCAGGCGGAGATACTTAAAGTTAACATGTTTCTGATTCCCACAAGAGTATTGGTGGCTCTTTAGGCAAAAAAATCAAGGATGGAGAGTTCCATTTGTTGTTTAGAGGAGACAATGCTAATGTTAACTGTTACTTGACACTCAAGTTGGTAAGGTTTCACTCTTTTATCGTTTGTAAAGACTGCCCCAAAGTAGATGGCAATGCGTACTAAATTGAAGGTTGTTCCATCTTTTTTTCCGGGAATATCAGAGTAGAATTTGCGATGATATCACCACACCAACGGTAGTTTCTGTGTAGTTCAATGCACAGAATCAGAAGGATACAAAGAGTTGCTTGTGTTTATACATATGTGGTGAAGATTGTGTGGTCTACGGAAAATTTGCTTCTAGAAAAATTAAAAGAGAAAACTGCAGCATATACTAGCTATTAATAAGGTACTTCGTTATCTCCATTCTCATAAATTTTTTTTGCTGCATTTTTAAAAATTTGTGTAAAGAGAAAAATAGAAGAAGTAAAGGGCAAAGAGAGAGTCAAAACTTACAGATAATACACCAAGGAGATGGCTAACAAAAAGAATGAGACAGCGAAGGATATTGCTCTCTCCTCTAGGATGTACAAGAAGTTTTTTTGTATAGGTTTTGATTTTTTAAAGAAACAAATAATTAAAGAATTTAAGTTCTTATAATTATAATTAGAGTAAACAAAAAAGTATTTTACATTAAAAAAAAATCAAGTAAAAGAAAGTAAAAAAACTATTATGGGAAGTTTACAAAAAGATTGAATAAACAGCAACACTCAGAAAAGAGAAGAAAAAATTATAACAAATCACATTATTCTAAATAGTAAAAACATTTTGTCACTTATCGAATAACTAATCCTCTATCTCGAATTAGGTTGTATTTGTTAAAGTATATTTCCTACTAATCAAAAATTTTACTCCTAAACACTAAATATATATGAAATTTATTTTATTATATTAAACACAACTTAAAAAATCTACATGATATACAAACCCGCGTGTACATGCGGGTCTTCACCTAGTTAAATTGAATCGTGGCTTAGCACTACTTTCACTTGAGATTTCTATAATCTAATTTTGTCAAGCATTGAATATTGAATGTGTTTGTTTTTTCCAAGAGTGAGTTCTTAAATATTTTGATTAAAGTTACAATAATAATATTGCCTAGTGTGACCTAAAGGAAACATTAAGCCATCCAGAGGTTTGAGACAAGGAGACCCTCTATCCCCTTTCCTCTTCATCATGTGTACTGAAGGTCTTATCTCTCTTCTCAAGGGTGCTGAGGAAGAAGATCGCATATCTGGGCTTAAAATAGCTCAAGCAAGCCCCCCGTGTCCCATCTTCTTTTCGCTGATGATAGTCTGTTTTTCTGTAAAGCAGATTGCCAGCAAGGAAAGGAAATATTTAAGATTATTGATACGTATGGAAAGGCGTCAGGACAACAGCTGAATCTGGGCAAGTCATCCATCATGTTTGGGAATAGAGTAAATCCAAACCTTAAACGGAATATAAAAAATGCTGTCGGCATCACTTCGGAAGGAAGAATGGGTATGTATCTGGGACTCCCAGACAATATGCGGATCAAGAAGAAAGTGTCTCCATCGTCGAGGACGTCTCGGTAATCAGGTCAATATTGGTCCG